CAGAGGCCGCCCGCCGGGCCTGCCCCCGCCTCGCAGGCCCTCGCTCTGGCTGGACCAAAGGTAAGCCTGGCTTTTCCCCCGGGCACCTCCTCGGTTTAGAAGAGCCGTGTAAATCAGACAGACAGGCGTGGCCTGTTAGCGGGCGCTCTGAGTGCTGTGCGATCCAGGGAGTATTGGGACCTGGTGGCCCTAACCAGCGCTGCCTGAGCGGATTTCACGGAGACGTGTCTGAGTTAGATCTCCCAGCCCCTTCACTCCCAGACCAGTTCCCTCTCCAGTGCAGCTGCTCTGTGATGTGTCTGAGCTCCTTCTCCAGATTTACTTCCCTTTACCCGCCTGCACGGAGAACCTCGGAGAAGTGCATGGTGTGTGTGGGTGGGGAGGGGCGGGGGGGGCGGTCCCCGAGCGCAAAAGGAGCTCCCGAGTGTGCACTTCGTCGTTGGCCTTTGTCACTGGGCCCTGAGAGCCGTGCACACTGCTCCACCAGGTCCACACGACCAGAGCCCCCCAGGGGACAAGCCCACGCTTCAGGCTTCACTGGCATCTGGCCTTATGCACCTTAGATGCGACTTCTTGTTGATGCAGTCATTGCCTCTCTTAGGGTTTCAGTCACAATGGCCATGCCAGCTAGAGCTCAGCTTGGTCTTGTGCAAGATGGTGAATGGTTTGGCCGTTGGACTTGATTCTCACAGTCAGGGAGCAGGTGGACTGCACCTGGGTTCTTTAATCCCTCCTGCTTCTTACGAAGGTCCCCATTTATGTCCCCTGAGGAGTAAAGGCTCGGGCTTTGTAGTGTGAGCCTTGTAGACAGCCTGCATCTCCATCCTGTCTCCTTCCATCATGGACCGCGTCACTTGGGTCCCTCCTCCCAGCGAGGGCGCGGTCTCCGCTCTTGCTGTTAGGAAGGGGCTGCTGCTCATTCCGTGTCTGTCTGTTGGTCTCAGGTGGGAGGGCAGCTCTGGGTGGGAGCCCCGCCCACACGTAGCCCCAGGCGGCCCCCAAGGGCCTCTGGGAGGCGAGGGGCTTGCGGCAGCCACGCTCCCTCTGCGCCAACCTCGCTTTATGCCATTCGTCTCTGAAGGAAGCGTATGGTGACGGACTTTTGGCTCAAGCTCCTCGGGTGGGTGTCACGCACTGGTCTGCGCACTGGTCTTTGGTGGCACTGCCCGGGGCCACGGCACCTCAGCGGGAGATCGCACACGTTCTGTTTCTCAAGATCAAACAGATGGTGCCAAGCTGTTAATGAATTCCAAGTGTGTGCTTCACCTTGTCGGTGTTCTCCCCACAGCCCAAAGCCCACCAGTTCAGCATCAAGTCCTTCTCCAGCCCCACTCAGTGCAGCCACTGCACCTCCCTGATGGTGGGGCTCCTCCGCCAGGGCTAGGCCTGCGAGGGTGAGTATCCCGCGGCCCTGGGGCTCGGGGGCGGAACGCAGCCAGTGGGAGTGAGCGAGGGAGCATCTTCCCCTAGTTGTGTAAATGCTCCATGAGCCAGGGCTGAAAGCCTGGTCCTCGCTGCGTGGGAGCCGCGCTGGCGGGTGAGCCGGGCCTCTGGTGGTCACGTGCAGTCATGCTGAAGATTAGCCCGGCAGAACGGAGCCCGACCTCCCTGCGAGTCCTCTGGAGGGAGCACCCCGGGGCCTCTTCCCTCGGCCTCGTCCCAAGCCTGGGCTGGGCCTTGCCACGCCCGCGCTCACTCACATTTGGGTGCAACCACCCGTGCAGCGCAACTGGCTAAGGTCACAGGTGCCCAGTGACACCCTGGGCTGGGCGGCCCGAGCACCCACGCTGGTCGGAGCCGCGTGCTCACGGTGCAGGGCCAGCCCTGTGGTTGGTGGCCAGGACCCCCGGGTGTGCCGTCACCCGTCAGACGTGCTCACGGTGCAGGGCCAGCCCTGTGGTTGGTGGCCAGGACCCCCGGATGTGCCATCACCCATCAGACCGGCACGTTGTTACTGTGGGGGCTGGGGGAGGACAGACTGGCTCCGGGACAGTCCTTGCACGTCAAGGTGTCCTGTGGCCCTGCCTGCCGCTGGGCCCGTCCCCGAGCTGTGGCGGGACGTGTTCAGAAACCCCCACGCAGGGTTCCGGGGCCTCCGGGCCACATTCTGACGCTGCCCCCTCCCTGCTCCAGTGTGCTCGTTTGCTTGCCACGTGTCCTGCCGAGACAGCGCCCCCCAGGTGTGCCCCCTCCCTCCCGAGCAGGCCAAGCGGCCCCTGGGTGTGGACGTGCAGCGGGGCATTGGGACCGCCTACAAGGGCTACGTGAAGGTAGGACGCTGGGCCCTCGTGTCTGCGATGACCCTCGTGCCCGTCCTGGGAGGCCTGGTCCTGAGGACCCACGAAGCGCACTCGGAGTCAGGGCCTGTCCCGCCTCCTGCCAGGCGCTCAGACAGGCTCCGAGGCCGAGTGCTGTGCCCGCCTCGCAGGCCCTCGCTCTGGCTGGACCAAAGGTAAGCCTGGCTTTTCCCCCGGGCACCTCCTCGGTTTAGAAGAGCCGTGTAAATCAGACAGACAGGCGTGGCCTGTTAGCGGGCGCTCTGAGTGCTGTGCGATCCAGGGAGTATTGGGACCCGGTGGCCCTAACCAGCGCTGCCTGAGCGGATTTCACGGAGACGTGTCTGAGTTAGATCTCCCAGCCCCTTCACTCCCAGACCAGTTCCCTCTCCAGTGCAGCTGCTCTGTGATGTGTCTGAGCTCCTTCTCCAGATTTACTTCCCTTTACCCGCCTGCACGGAGAACCTCGGAGAAGTGCATGGTGTGTGTGGGTGGGGAGGGGCGGGGGGGGCGGTCCCCGAGCGCAAAAGGAGCTCCCGAGTGTGCACTTCGTCGTTGGCCTTTGTCACTGGGCCCTGAGAGCCGTGCACACTGCTCCACCAGGTCCACACGACCAGAGCCCCCCAGGGGACAAGCCCACGCTTCAGGCTTCACTGGCATCTGGCCTTATGCACCTTAGATGCGACTTCTTGTTGATGCAGTCATTGCCTCTCTTAGGGTTTCAGTCACAATGGCCATGCCAGCTAGAGCTCAGCTTGGTCTTGTGCAAGATGGTGAATGGTTTGGCCGTTGGACTTGATTCTCACAGTCAGGGAGCAGGTGGACTGCACCTGGGTTCTTTAATCCCTCCTGCTTCTTACGAAGGTCCCCATTTATGTCCCCTGAGGAGTAAAGGCTCGGGCTTTGTAGTGTGAGCCTTGTAGACAGCCTGCATCTCCATCCTGTCTCCTTCCATCATGGACCGCGTCACTTGGGTCCCTCCTCCCAGCGAGGGCGCGGTCTCCGCTCTTGCTGTTAGGAAGGGGCTGCTGCTCATTCCGTGTCTGTCTGTTGGTCTCAGGTGGGAGGGCAGCTCTGGGTGGGAGCCCCGCCCACACGTAGCCCCAGGCGGCCCCCAAGGGCCTCTGGGAGGCGAGGGGCTTGCGGCAGCCACGCTCCCTCTGCGCCAACCTCGCTTTATGCCATTCGTCTCTGAAGGAAGCGTATGGTGACGGACTTTTGGCTCAAGCTCCTCGGGTGGGTGTCACGCACTGGTCTGCGCACTGGTCTTTGGTGGCACTGCCCGGGGCCACGGCACCTCAGCGGGAGATCGCACACGTTCTGTTTCTCAAGATCAAACAGATGGTGCCAAGCTGTTAATGAATTCCAAGTGTGTGCTTCACCTTGTCGGTGTTCTCCCCACAGCCCAAAGCCCACCAGTTCAGCATCAAGTCCTTCTCCAGCCCCACTCAGTGCAGCCACTGCACCTCCCTGATGGTGGGGCTCCTCCGCCAGGGCTACGCCTGCGAGGGTGAGTATCCCTGTGGTTGGTGGCCAGGACCCCCGGGTGTGCTGTCACCCGTCAGACGTGCTCACGGTGCAGGGCCAGCCCTGTGGTTGGTGGCCAGGACCCCCGGGTGTGCTGTCACCCGTCAGACGTGCTCACGGTGCAGGGCCAGCCCTGTGGTTGGTGGCCAGGACCCCCGGGTGTGCTGTCACCCGTCAGACGTGCTCACGGTGCAGGGCCAGCCCTGTGGTTGGTGGCCAGGACCCCCGGGTGTGCCGTCACCCGTCAGACGTGCTCACAGTGCAAGGCCAGCCCTGTGGTTGGTGGCCAGGACCCCCGGGTGTGCTGTCACCCGTCAGACGTGCTCACGGTGCAGGGCCAGCCCTGTGGTTGGTGGCCAGGACCCCCGGGTGTGCTGTCACCCGTCAGACGTGCTCACGGTGCAGGGCCAGCCCTGTGGTTGGTGGCCAGGACCCCCGGGTGTGCTGTCACCCGTCAGACGTGCTCACGGTGCAGGGCCAGCCCTGTGGTTGGTGGCCAGGACCCCCGGGTGTGCCGTCACCCGTCAGACGTGCTCACAGTGCAAGGCCAGCCCTGTGGTTGGTGGCCAGGACCCCCGGGTGTGCTGTCACCCGTCAGACGTGCTCACGGTGCAGGGCCAGCCCTGTGGTTGGTGGCCAGGACCCCCGGATGTGCCGTCACCCATCAGACCGGCACGTTGTTACTGTGGGGGCTGGGGGAGGACAGACTGGCTCCGGGACAGTCCTTGCACGTCAAGGTGTCCTGTGGCCCTGCCTGCCGCTGGGCCCGTCCCCGAGCTGTGGCGGGACGTGTTCAGAAACCCCCACGCAGGGTTCCGGGGCCTCCGGGCCACATTCTGACGCTGCCCCCTCCCTGCTCCAGTGTGCTCGTTTGCTTGCCACGTGTCCTGCCGAGACAGCGCCCCCCAGGTGTGCCCCCTCCCTCCCGAGCAGGCCAAGCGGCCCCTGGGTGTGGACGTGCAGCGGGGCATTGGGACCGCCTACAAGGGCTACGTGAAGGTAGGACGCTGGGCCCTCGTGTCTGCGATGACCCTCGTGCCCGTCCTGGGAGGCCCGGTCCTGAGGACCCACGAAGCGCACTCGGAGTCAGGGCCTGTCCCGCCTCCTGCCAGGCGCTCAGACAGGCTCCGAGGCCGAGTGCTGTGAAGGCCCGGCCAGCTGTAGTTTCCGAGTGCTCCCTGGCTGTGAGCGTCCCTGTCGCTGAGCTGTCCGCCTTGTCCCCGCGTAACCTTGTCAGTGCTCGCCCTCCGCAGCAGCGCCCTGACTCCCTGGCCCAGACCAGGCTCTGGCCACCGGCCTGCAAGGGTGCGGGGAGCTGCCTGTGAGAAGCCGGCCGGCAGAGGGCGATGGTGGCCCGTGGCTCCTCCAGGAAGTCCCCGTCTGAGGCCCCCGGTGGCGCTTCTGGAAGGTTGTGGTTGGCCTCGCCGGCCAGTGAAACACGGTCCGTTTACCCGCAGGTCCCGAAGCCGACGGGCGTGAAGAAGGGGTGGCAGCGGGCCTACGCCGTGGTCTGCGACTGCAAGCTCTTCCTGTACGACCTGCCCGAGGGCAAGTCCACGCAGCCCGGCGTGGTCGCCAGCCAGGTCCTGGACCTCAGGTCTGCGCCTCGGTCTCCGGGCCTCGCCTGTGTGCTTGTCGCCAAGATGACAGTGTGTTGTTTGAGACCCTTAACCTCATTTCCGCCTCCACACCCACCCTCACTGCGCTGTCCCCCAAACAGGCACTAAAGTCCGTGCCAGACGCGTCCTGTTTTAGATACGTTTGCATTGAAAATTGCCCAATGAGCATTTAACATAAGAACCTACACGCCCAAGAACAAGCAGGGAACGTCCAGAGGGCGCTGCGTGTCCTGAGGGGCCTGGTGCCTAGCGGGTCCCTTGTTGGTGACAGCAGCCTGGAGCCGGGCTGTGGGGCCCTAATGCTTGCTGCGTGGGCACCTCTGACCCTTCCGTACTTGTCACCTGCCTTCCTGGCACCAGGCAGAGGGCAGCGAGCACCCTCCTCGCGGCTTCTCTTCTCGTTCCGTCTGATTCCGCTTCCCATTTGTGTGACGGGCACCATCCCAGCACGGGAGTTGGAGGGTGTTTGTGAGGTTAAACAAGTTGCAGGTGGGCGTGCTGGGCACAGGGCCTGGCGTGGCCTGTCCTGTCACCCACCCCAGTGCCACGGAGGACGGCAAATGCAGACATGGACATGCTGGCATCTGCCCAGGCTGGGGCCCAGCCTCCAGCCTGTCGCCAGCATTGGTTCTGGGGGGAAGGGGTGCCGTGGTGGTGCCATGAGAGCCATGTGTCAGTCACCCCCACAGCAGTGCCCACCTCCCATTGTCCCCAGGACATGAGGCGGATGAGCACTGGGACCTGTGTGTGGGAAAGCCCCAGGGACCCTGCTGCCCCTGCCTGCGCCCTGGCCCTGCGAGGAAGAGGCCAGCGGGCGCCGAGCCTGGAGTGTAGAGTGTATTGAAGTGGGGCTGCCACAGCTGTCGCACATGTTCGCTCCTTTAATGGCGGCCTGATTATAGCCCCATCCGGGCCCACCAGCGAGGTGGGGTCTGTCCGTCCCCAAGCAGCTCCAGGACTAGAGAGAGCCATGTGGCTCAGGGAGAAGGGAGGGTGGAGGGAGGGGGTGTGGCTCAGGGAGAAGGGAGGGGTGGAGGGAGGGGCTTCTCAAACTCCCAGAGGAAGCGTTTTCTTACCCAGACGAAGGCAGGGGCCCCTCACGTTGGAGGAAGTCTTCACAAAAGGGCCCTTTCGTCAGATCTGAGCACAGGAGGGTGTGCACGGCCTGTGTGTTCCTGCCCCGTGTGTGCGCTGAGTGTCCTGTTTCTTGCAGAGATGAAGAGTTCTCGGTGAGCTCAGTCCTGGCCTCCGACGTCATTCACGCTTCACGACGAGACATTCCGTGTATCTTCAGGGTACGGTTCTCTTCCGTGTTAGAGAGGATTCGCTGGTCACAGAAAGTCACGTGGTTAAAACGAAACCCTCTGAGAGCATCACTGCCGTCGGAGGGGCCAGTGCCCATGGGAGAGGCCCCGGCTCCCCTCCCCGTCCTTGCTGCAGGCTCCTCACACACGTGCGCCCAGCCTCTGCCCTCGCTGCCGCCTCCCTCCCCTCCCCATCTCAATGCTCTATGCCAGCGCTCGCTCTCAGGCGGGGCCTCCCTTCCCTCTCAGGCCTGCTGGTCAGGAGCTGGAGCGACACAGGAGCAGCCGGCAGCCCTGCTCCTGCGCACTCACTGAGCTGAGAGGTGCCTCCCCGCGAGTTCTGGTTGAGCTCGTCTCTGTTCAGAAAGCCCCTCATACAACGCAGAGACTTGCCGTCACTGCATGTAACCTGTCCTGGCAGCCGCACGGGCCTGTGCAGGTGCCCTGTGCTGTGTGAGAGCCTGTCGCCTGTGCACGTGCTCCGAGGGTCCTCTTTAGTGTAATACGATCGTTCAGGAAAGCACCTTAGAATGGACATGACCCCCCAGATTGGGCAAGAGCAGGACAACAGAGAGCTGACGGGGAAGCGGGGCTGCCCTTCCTGTCCCGAGGACAGCACAGAGGGGCCTCGGAGCAGGGCCGGCCGAGCTTTAACCCCTGGCCCTTCTGCTCCTCCCTCTGGCGGGACAGCGGCCGGGCCGGCGGGCGGGAGTCTGTGCCGTGCTTGCCGGCTTACGGCTCTCCTGTTTTCTTTTCTGCCCTGAAGGTGACGGCCTCTCTCTTAGGTTCACCTTCTAAGACCAGCTCACTGCTCATTCTGACAGAGAACGAGAACGAGAAGAGGAAGTGGGTTGGGATTCTGGAAGGACTGCAGTCCATCCTGCAGAAGAACCGCCTGCGCAACCAGGTGGTGCACGTCCCGCAGGAGGCCTACGACTCCTCGCTGCCGCTCGTCAAGGCCGTGCTGGCGGCCGCCGTGCTGGGTGCGTGCGCCTCCGAGGCACCGCTGTCCTCACCTTCGTTCGAATTAGAGTCCGTTGCTCCCATGTCCAGGGAGGGACAGGCCGGGCCCACAGCTGACGCGCTTTCTGTTCTCTTCCTCTGCCTCACAGATGGCGACAGGATCGTGGTCGGCTTAGAAGAAGGGCTCTACGTCATCGAGGTGACCCGTGACGGTGAGTGCGGCCTGTCCGCTGTGCTGGCCCAGCGTCGGCCGTGGGAACCTGTGAGCGCTGAGACGATGTCACTGGGCGGGTCCGTCGCCCCCATCAGAAGCTTTGTGATGAGAGGGAAGGCCACAGCCAAGAACACTTACTTGCGACAGCAGTGACGTTGGGCACATGGGGCCCTGGGTGCCTGGAAGGGGTGGAGGGTGCTGAGCAGGGGTGGGCCCTGCGGTCCCCCCGCCTCGGCCTCACGCCCGCCCTCCCTGCAGTGATCGTCCGCGTCGCTGACTACAAGAAAGTCTACCAGATCGAGCTCGCCCCCAAGGAGAAGGTCGCCGCGCTCCTCTGCGGCCGGAACCACCACGTCCACCTCTGCCCGTGGTCTGCCTTCGACGGCACAGAAAGCAATGTGGACGTCAAGCTTCCGGAAACGAAGGGCTGCCAGCTCCTGGCCACGGCGACGCTGAAGAAGAGCGCGGCCACCTGCCTGCTTGTGGCGGTGAAGCGGCTGGTGCTGTGCTATGAGGTCCAGCGGACCCGGCCTTTCCACAGGAAGGTCACGGAGCTCGCGGCCCCTGGCAGCGTGCAGTGCATGGCCGTGCTCAAGGACAAGCTCTGTGTTGGCTACCCTTCGGGGTTCTCTCTGTTGAGCCTCCAGGGAGATGGGCAGGCCCTGCCGCTGGTAAATCCCCATGACCCCTCGCTTGCGTTCCTCTCACAGCAGTCTTTTGACGCCCTTTGTGCTGTGGAGCTCAAAAGCGAGGAGTACCTGCTTTGCTTCAGCCACATGGGACTGTACGTGGACCCACAAGGCCGGAGGTCGCGCACGCAGGAGCTCATGTGGCCTGCGGTGCCTGTTGCCTGTAGTATGTATATGTTTTCTGTTGCCCTATCCCTGTCGCTGCTCTTCACGCCCGTCGGCATGTTCAGTTTTGCTTCAGTTCGTCTCCGGTTCCCCGGCCAGGGAGCTAGGGAGCGCCAGGAGGGCGGGCCCCACGCTCGGCCTTGGGAGGTGGTCCCGACACTGGCCTCGGGCGGCTGTGAGGGCCTGCAGTCATTTATGAACTCGCAGTAGCAGCACCCAGCTGCAGGGCTCGGCGTGGGAGGCCTCTGGGAGGCGGTTTCCTGAGAGGCAGGAGCTGTTCTGGAAAGAGCCGAGTTGGTCCAGGGATTGAGGTGGCTTCCTGTGTGGGGGGCTCCGTGGGTCTCTTCACGCCCAGCCCGCCATCTGAACTTGTCCAGGGCCCTAACCCTTAGCGCCCACCACTGGCGGGCAGGTGGGAACCAGGGGTGATGGGACCGGTCACGGGCAACAGAAGTGGGGTTACAGGTGGGGGGCGGGTGCCGTGTTTTTCCTCAATTACCTACAAGTACAGCCTTTGTCCGCCTTGTTGCTGGCAGAGAACCCGGGGGTGTTGGACCAGGAGCCCCAGCTGTGGGGTGCGCTGCCTCTGTTGGCGCCTGGGGCTCACGTGTGTGTCTGACTCCTTGGCCCTCGGCCGGGGCTGGGGCAGTGCAGCAGCCAGAGCCTCCTGCTGCCACGCCCGCCCCTTCCCTGCCGCCCCGTGTCCACGGAAGCCGCCACGTAGGAACAGCCTCAAAACTACAGGGGCCGTGCTCAGCGGAGCTGTTCTGCTAGGAGAGGAAAAGCGACCCCGAGCCCAGGCTCCAGGTGGCCACGCTGGCCTGGCGTTCGGTTCTGCCTCCACCTTGTGGTCTCGTTTTCGCCCTCGTGCCCAGCGCAGATGCTCAGCCAGTCTGGGGGCCAGTGCACTTGCCCTGGCCACGCCCTGCTGGGCACCCTGTGTGCTCAGCCGCCCGTCCCGTGCAGAGGCGTGTCAGTCCCGTCTCTGCGGGCTGGCCATGGGGCAGGTGATGCGGGAGCACGCGGCTGTGGTCAGATTCCACAGCAGTGCCCTTCCCGTGGAGACGGACACCTCCGTGCAGCGCCTCGTCCCGCACAGACATCCTGGCCCCTGCAGGGAGCCCCACGTGGTCACGGGAGAGGCTGCCCAGCTGTGCGCGGGCCTCAGGGAGCCGGCCTCGAGGTCGGGTCGTTCGTGGACGGCCCTCAGTCCTGCCTCCTGCCTGCTGCCCGACCCTGTTTCACTCCCTTGGGTTGGAAGGGAGGCTGGTCGTGCCGTCCACTAGGAACACAGCAGAGCAGCTTAGACCCACCTGCTGTTAGTGATCTGCCCCCTGAAGCTTAGCGGGCAGCCGGGAGCCGGAGCTCGGCCCTGCGGCTGCCTCTGCGGTGCAGCCGCTCATGGTGC